GATGCAGGGGGGTGGGAAGATTCACCACAGACAGAGTGGGGAACAGAACAGGTAGACTGGTTGAAATACACTGCTGAGGGGAGCAGCAGGGAGACAGGAGAGGTCTCCTGTGCCATGTGAGTTGCTCTCTGGCCGACCGGGGATAAAACTCATGCAGCAGAGGCTGTGGATTGCTTCATAGTGCGGTGCTTAACCCCTTGCGCCACCAGGGAGGTCCAAAACCAATTTGTTTTTATGCGCATTGTCTCTGAGAGTGTGCTGTTGGTGACAAGGACATACTAGTGGGAATGCAAAGTGGTTCAATCACTGAGGAACAAATTTTTGAAATTTTCCAAAAAATAGATACTGCCATATAACTAATAATTCTAATCTAAGTATAAAATATTCTTTTTCTCACCAGGAAATATTTAAAACAATATTTTAAATGATTTATTCATAAATACAAAAAAGCCCTACAAACTAAAATATCTTTCACAAATATACCTATCTTGTAATATAGAAGAAGAGAGCATTTAAAATTAATGAGTGCTAAAATCAACAATATTTGTTGCACAGTTTCCTTCTTTTATTATATGAAAGCACAAATCTTTTTTTTTCCTTTTTTAAAAGATTTATTTATTTATTTATGCATATAAGAGTTGGGGTACAGACCAGAGATCGTGGGGGGTGAGAGGATTCACCAGAGACAGAGCGGGGAACAGAACAGGCAGACTGACCCAAGTACACTGCTGAGGGGAGCAGCGGGTCAGTCAGGAGAGGTCTGCTTTGCCTTGTGGGCTGCTCTGCAGCTGGCAGGGGATGGAACTCATGCTGCAGAGGCTGCGGATTGCCTCACAGTGTGGTGCTCAACCCCTTGCGCCACCAGAGAGGCCCCTGAAAGCACAAATCTTAACTGCCTGGCTGGACAAGATTTTGCATCTGTACACATTCAAATAATTCAGACCCCGGCCATAGAAGAAACATTCACAGTATCCCAAAACCTCTGCTTTATCCTCCCCCAGTCATTTGACTAAGCAGAATTCATTGGAAAGACAATCCTTTTCTCTACTGTTTGGCTTAAATCTCATGACAACACATGTGTAGTCAGCAGTTTCTATATTACTAATTTGTTTTGTTGGTTGATTTGTTTAGCTTTTAACATTTGTACCACATTGTTTAAATTAATATAACTTCCTCTGAGATTGATATTTTGTAAGATAGTTCTCCAGATTTGTTCTTTTAGTATGAGATTGTCTTGGCTTTTTGGAGTAATTGTTAGAATATTGAGCTTTGAGAAAATCTAGAGATTCATTTGGAAGAATAAGTGATATTTTTCCAATAGTATACCTTCTTATCAATTAACATGGTATATTTATTTATTTAGGGCTTATTAAAATTGTGCTTAATCATGTTTGCTACATTGTTTAGAGTATAGAAGTTTATAGTATAAAAGATTTTCAAATATTCCATTAAATTTATCCCTTGGCATTTGTACTTACAAATGATAACATTTTAATATTGAATTCCAATTGTGTTTTCTGTAATACATCCAGTGTTTGATGCATATAAATCTAAGATTGCCATGTATTCCTGTTGGATGCATCCTGTTGTCTGATTGTTAACATTGCTAGTTTTCACTGCCTGTTACATTTATGTAACATATCTTTTCCATTCCTTTGCTTTCAAACTTTTTGTATCTTTGTATTCAAAGTGTATCTCTTATAAAGATGACCAGGTTGGGTCAATCAATAAATAAAAAGACAAAACAAGCTAAAACCCAACTATATACATGTTTTTTTAAGAGATACACTTTAAATACCTTTAAGCCAAAGACAGAAAAATAAAACAAATAAAAAATGCATCCCTTAGGGCTTAACTTTTTCAAAATGAAACAATTTAAAGCTAGATAAGGAGGATTATTGGGGTACTGGTGGTGGGTGGGGTGTGAAAATATACACTTGTAGAACTTTAAGCCTATAATCCCCAAAGCAGATGCAATGATGTAAAGCACTTTAATTTTAATTCAAACTTAATTGAATAAACATAATATAAAATCAGATAAGGATATAGATGGGGTGATTAATAATAACATTGAATCTTATCATTTCTGAGGGCAAATAGCATGAAATACTGACAGTTTTATAGGCTTTTACCTTTTAGAAGAACATTAAACAAAATTAGAAATGCAGATTAAATGCAGTATTTGCACCAGGGAGAGGAAAAGTGAGGTGACTAGAACACACTCACATGTACTCTCTTGTGCTGGTATAGCTTTATTTCCTTACCCAGGTGATAGTCTTGTATGTTTCATTCTGTTAACATTCTTTCGGAACTATAGATACATTTTATACACTGCTTTGCATATTCAAACAAAAGAAATTTGGGAAAGGTCTTTTTATTCCAGATCAAAAATACATTCCCTATAGATTTCTAACATTAAATATACTTTTAAAACTCCAAAGTGCAACAGAATCTTATAAAGTGCTAATTGATAGTGTGACTCGTTCAATGTTTCTGCAGAGCTTAAAAGTCTGTTGTTTGTGTGTGATATTAGGAACCTCCCTGAGGCATGAAGCCTCTGCTGACTTGCAAGTCTGATGTCAGGGAAGGTCAGATTGAGAGAAAGGAACAGAAGGATTCTAAGCTTCCACATTGGTCTTTCGGCTCAGTACAAACCAGGAGGTTAACTGTTGAAAACATACTGTGTTGTATGTCTAGTCTATAAAGATGGAAAGAACCATGTTATTTTTTTGTTGTTGTTTGTATTACTCCAGACATTCAAGAAAATTCCTCAAAACATTAACAGTAAAGGGCCTCCCCGGTGGCACAGCGGTTGATCGCTGGGTTGCGAGGCTGCCCTCAGCCTCTGCAGCGCCGGTTCGATCCCCGGCTGCTCCCCGGCCACCGGAGGAGGGTCCCACATGGCGCGCAGACCTCTCCTGCCGCCCGCTGCTCCCCTCAGCAGTGTACTTCGGTCCTTCTGCCTGCTCTGCTCCCCGCTCTGGCTCTGGTGAATTCTCTCACCCTCCCGCGCTTCTGACTGTACCCAGTGCTTGTATAAAAAAAAAAAAAAAACATTAACAGTAAAAAGGTAAGGGATATAGATTTGAATGATCACACACAGCACGAATTACAGTCTTTGCAAATATATATGGGAAAGTCACCAAACCAAGATGCTACTATTGTCTCCAACAATTAGGAAAAAATCAGACTCTGGAAGATTCTAATATCTACAACTATTATGTTATAATATTGAGGCAGAAGAGCTGAAACAAACAAACAAACAAAAAAGAACAAAGTGAGAAAACCCCAAGGAACCTTTGGGATACTATCAAGTGAAAAAATGCACTGAGGGAGTCCCAGAAAGAGGAGAGAAAGAGAAAATGCTGTCAAGAATATTCGAAGAAATAATTGTCAAAACCTCCCTAAAGACGATGGTGTACATGAACCTACGAATCCAAGAAGTCCATGAAGGCCAAGAAGGTCCCATCAACAAGATCAACACAAAGATACATGGCATCAAGCTGACCGTGCCCATAGAGACACAAGACCTTGAAAGCTGCTCATTGCCAAGATGTAAGAGGAAACCAACGCATCACCAACAGCGAATATCTCGTCAGAACCCAGGAGGCCAGAGGACTCTAGGATAACATAGTTGAAGTACCAACAGAAACAATAGAACTATCAACCAAGAATCTGATATGTGACCAAAAACATCCTTCCAAAATGAGGGAGATATAAACCATTATCAGATAAAATTGAAATATCTCATTCCCACTAAGCCTTCTCCATGAACATATCTAAGGGATTCCTGCAGCTTGAAATGAAGACAGCCATTAGCAACGCAAGACTGTCTGAAAAATAAATGTTTCTGGTAAAGATAAATGTGTCAGCAAGTTAAAAATTCCTTCATCCAGTTTGGTTTATAGCTCCACTTTTTTTTCCTACTGGATTAAAAAGATACATGAAAAAGTTAAATCTGTGCTATTGGCCACAGTGTTTGATTTGTGGCAATAACATTAAGGAAAAAGGACAGAATGATAGGAAAGCAGAGGTTTTCTATGCTTGTGAAGGAAAAATGGCAGGAATTCAATGAGACTGCTATAAATTTAGCATGTTCGATGTGCTGCCTACAGTAACAACCAAGTTATCTAAATATATTCCAAAGAGGTAATGAAAAAGAAGTACAAACTGTCCCTACCAAAAAAGAAAATTTAAAAAACAACAAAATACTAGACAGAAAGTAGGCTAGCAATGGAAGAAATGAACAAAAAATTATACTGGGTATAGATGAAATAAATTTTAAATGGAGGAGCTAATTATCTCCTCAAAGTCAGCACTTTAAAAGTAAGTGGATTAAGCTCTCCAAATAAGAGAGAGTGGAAGAGAAAAGAAACTTGATGTGCATATATGCTGTGAGAGACTCAGTAGAGATTTACAAACACAGATGGATTGGAAATGAAAGAATGGAAAATATATTCCAGAGAAATAGACCCCAAGGGAGAGTTAATATCAGAAAAAAATTGACTTCACATCAAAACCATGAAAATAGATGAAGAACGACAGATAGAAAACAGACAGGTAGATAGAGATAGAAATAAAAGGGGCAATAATCAAGGTGTTAGGACAATTGCAAACATGTAAATATCAAACAACAGGGCCTTAAAATACCTAAAGCAAGCATGACAGAAGTGAAGGGAGAAATACATATTCTCTAAAATATTGTCTAAAGACATTTATCGCAACTTTTAACAATAGATCGTACCCTTGGCTAGATCAAAGATAATTTGAAAGACAATATAAACACATAGAACCTACAGACATACAAACACGCCTTTCTACAGCAGCAAAAGATGCCTTCTCCAGTGCACATGGAAAATTTTCCAGGCGGACCACAGCCACCAAGAACATTCCAATGCATTTAGAAAGATGGAAGTCACGGAAAGGGGCTTTCTGACCACAGCGTGTGAACCTGGCAATCACTGAGAAGGACAACTGGAAAATATTCAAAGATGTGGCAGTTAAACACCCTCCTGAAAAACCAATAGCTTCTTATTGATCAGTTTTCTCAAGGCTCCTTTCATGTCCCTGTTCCTCAGGCTGTAGATGAAAGGGTTCATCATTTGGGGGATGACAGTGTAGATCATGGAAGCCACTGCCGTGTTTCTGGAAGAATTAGTCAGGGCAGAACTAATGTAGACCCCCAGGCCTGTCCCATAGAACAGGGACACCACGGAGAGGTGAGACCCGCAGGTGGAAAAAACTTTATACTTTCCATCCGCTGAGGGGATCCTCAGAACAGAGGACACTATTTGAGTATAAGAAAAAACAATCCCGCACAGAGGAATACCCCCACATACGCCAGTTGCAAGATAGATTAGGATGTTGTTGATGAGGGTGTCAGAACAGGCTAGTTTGATGACCTGAACCACTTCGCAGAAGAAAAGGGGGATTTCCACGCGTGCACAGAAGGCCAGTGGCAGCACCAGCAGGCTGTGGAGGAGGGCGTCGGTGACGCTCAGGCTCAGGGAGCCCAGGACCAGCAGGCCGCAGAAGCAGGGGCTCATGATGACGTTGTACCTGAGTGGGTGACAGATGGCTACGTAGCGGTCGTAGGCCATGATTGCAAGAAGAAAGCTTTCCAAACTGGCAAAAACCAAGACGAAATAGACTTGCGTGAGACAGCCTGCATAAGTGATGCCCTGACTCTGTGCTCGAATGTTCACTAGCATCTTCGGGATGGTGGTTGTGCTTAAGCAAATGTCAGCAAAGGACAAATTGGAAAGTAAGAAGTACATGGGGTTGTGCAGCTGGGAGTCAGAGGCAACAGTCAGGATGATGAGGAGGTTTCCCAGGATGGTGACCGTGTACACGGACAGAAACACCATGAAAAGGAGAGGCTGCAGTTCTGGATCCTCTGTCACTTCCAGAAGGAGAAATTCTGGAACACCTGTTTTGTTTCTGGGTCCCATCTCAATTAACTTGGTAGGAAAGATGAACCGTCAGCACCATCAGATGGGGTTTTCCAGACCTGAAGAAGCAGCAGCACCTAGGGAAACACTAACTCGGGGAGGGATGGAGGCTCACATGGGAGAAAGAGTGGTTTTCCTTGGTACGCATACTATTCTGTGACAGAAAATACACCTGAAGCGGATACAGCAAAATCCATCAGTTGTTCATTTCTGCAAGGGCTATGGGTGGTCATTTTTTTATGCTGCACTATATATACTGCCCTGATTATTTAAAACATTTACTAATTTTGTAAAAGTAGCAGATTGAAAAGGCAACTGAGAATTCTGTGTGGAGTTTAGAGACCTCCCAGTCAGATCTGAGATTCTGCAAGGGTATGCCAAGAGCCAGGAATGCTAAGGGAAGGTGAACTTCACCAAATTTCCTGCCCCTGCCACTGCAAGATTGCAAGTAAACGTCAGAATTTTATAAGTTGCTCTGTTTTAGAAAAAATCAGTGTCTGCTAAGGAAGACAATGACCCTGGCCTTACTAGAATGACATCAAGATCAGTAAATGAGAGGTGCTTGCATATTGGTGCAAAGGTGCCAAGAAACTTGTGAAAAAATGAGAGGTGGCAGGAAGTGCATGCGTGACTTGGCTCTGATAAGCTGTGGTATGTGCTGCATTCACTGCCCTCCCTGAGTGAACTGGTACTAAGTCACCCTCCTTCATTTCCAAATAGTAACCAAAGGATGAGGGTTACCTGACACAGGTGATCTGTCCTCAGGAAGGACAGGGGGACTGGGTGAAACATGGGGTCCTGTGCAAGAGGATCGGCTCTGGAGGAGGCTAAGGTGTGTGACTTTTTCTCAGGAAGAGTTGCTGAATAAGGCAGGTTGCATTCATTGTCTCCCTAGAGGTTCAATTTCCAAAGCTTCTCATTAACTAAACAATATTCTTATTATCACTGAGATCCCAAGGAAGTAAAACTCCATAAAAAACAAGATTCTAGAAGGGCAGAATTAAGTATGGGTGCCTGGCTGACCCTCCGAGGCCAACTCCCACCTCCATTTCTGCCTCTGTGTCCTTTCATCTCCTTTTCAAATTTGTTTCAAATGGTCACTCTCCTCTAAAATTGCACTCTAGTCTTCTTTTATTAGATACAGCGAAGGGACCTCTATCAGACGAACATTCTCAGGGAGACTGAACACAATCTTAGTTGAAAAATCTATTTTATATATATGTTTAAAATAGATAAAAGTTAATAAAATTGGAAACTCAGGATTTTTCTCTCTACAAGTCATTAATAGCTCCTGAGAATTCATCTTCACCATGTATATTTATACCGGAGAGCCTTTTTTTTTTTCCTCTGATAATTTTGTTTCCAATCAACACAGATATAACTCTTATTGCCTTTTAAGATTTTGATGATCATTGTTTTGAATCTTTTCACAATAGTTTTAATGTACATTTTGTTCACTTTAGGGACTGAAGGTTGAAATTATGAACTTGAGTTAATCATATGAATTAATAGGAGAAAAACAGTTTATAGGAACCACAATCTTATTTAAACTAGAGGGACATCCAGTAGAACATGGTGGAGGGTTGGGGGGCACTGGTGCTAGTCAGGGTGGGAAAGCATACATTTATGGAGGTTTGAATCTGTATTCCCCAGAGCAGATGCAAGATGTAAACCTACTTCACCTCAAAAGACATGATTTGGAAGAAAAGTAAAAGAGAGGGGAGTTAATATGTGCATTAATATGTTAAACTACTCTCAACCACATATTAATGAGATTTGTCAATGAAATAATTTTACACCCACTGGATTATCAATATACTTGAAAATGTATTGACAATGATGAAAAGTACCAGGGTTTTTTACTATGGGTATAAGTGTAATAATCACTTACTAGAACTCTTTGGAACAACACAAAGGAGAATCCAGATTTATATGCAATATTTCATTGCAAGTATAAAGTTGTCTATAATTTTCACCAAGAAAAAGAATATTCAAACAGGCTGATTCATAATAGCAGCAAGCTACTGACAAGAAAAATTTCCATTAATATAGCACAGGGAATCTACCTTGAAAAATCAGCACAGATAATGTAAAATCACAGCAGATAGAACTGGAAATAACTTAGTGGCTGCTGTGTCCCATAACATGATTACATCTCAAAAGTGCAATAATGAGAAGAAAACCAACCAGGATGAAAACTTCCCAGGTGACATTAAAACTTTAGCAAATTTGTAAGTAAGCAAATTTAAAAATTAGACAGGAGTATATTCTGGGGTGATAAGACAATGACATCTAATGTTTTTGCTAGTTTCATATGGCAAATATGAGTAAATACTGACAATTTCATATAATTCAACCCAAAAGAACTTCAAAGAAAATAAGTCCATCATTTAGAATAGAGTTTGCCCCTGGAGTGGGAGATGGTGATGCAAGGAGGGAACCAAGATTGCCCCTCATCTTGACAACATCCTTTTTTGTGCTGTCTTACTTTCAACTTCTCTTTGTTAGAGGAAAATGCTTCTTCATAGCATACCTTTCCTCATAAAGGCACATTAATAAGTTTTGATTAAAGTCCTAAGGCTTCAAACCTCTATGACATCAGTGATACAATTAAGTTTATTCAATTAAATTTCTCTGTGTGTAATCCACATAGATGTGTAACAAACAGCGATATAAAATGAGTAAGGACAAATGTGAAAACTCATACTTTTTTTAATTGAAGTAACACGTTTAAAACATTACATAAGTTTCAAGCATTACTATACAATTGACCACTTTTGTCTAATTTACTTACCTTTCTCCCCCCACCTTGCCTTGTGGTAACCACTATTTTGTTCTTTTGGTCTAAGTGTTTGTTTGGTTTTAGATTTTTCATTTGTTGTTTTGTGTTTCTTTATCTACAGCATATGTACAAAATCCTGCAGTGTTTATCTTTATCTGATCTATTTCATTATTTCACCTTCTAGGTCCATACATGTTGTTACCAATGGCATGGTTTTATCTTTTTATGGTTGACTAATATTCCATTGCACTGTGAATATTCCATTGCACTGTGAATAGTGTTGCAGTAAAAAAGGGACTGTATATCTCTTCAAATTAGTTTTTTCCTATTGCTTGGATAAATATCCTTCAGTGACTAGCTAGATCGTGTAATATTTCTGTTTTTAAATTTGTTTAGAAATCTACATATTGTTTTCCATAACAGCTACAACAATTTATAGTCCCATCAAGTGCATAAAGGCGCCATTTCTTGGAATCCTCTCCAACACTGTTGTTTCTTGTCTTTTTGATAACAGTTTTCTCACAGGCATGAGATGCCATCACTGTGGGCTTGATTTGCATTTCACTGATAAGAAGGGGTGTTCAACATCTTTTTATGCACCTATTGGCCATTTCTTAGTTTTCTTTGGAGAATATTTTCTGTTTGGGATTATTATTGAACTTTATGAATTTCTCTCAAATTTATCAGATAAATGATTTCCAAATAATTTTTCAACTCAGTATGTAGCCTTTTTATTTTACCAATGGTTTATTTAATTGTTCAGAGGCTTTCCACTTGATGTAGTCTCATCTGTTTACTTTTTCCTTTGTTTCCCTAGACATTGGGGATGTATCCAAAACATCACTCAGGTAAATGCATTGTTATAAATAAGCCATTTAAAATGTTCAAATCTAATAAGCTGCAAAAGATTGCCAACCTTTTTATACCTACTGAATAATTATTCATTTTATGTGTCAGTTAAATCAGAAAAATCAACTGTGAAATGTAACAAAAAAATCTAATCTGAAATAGGTGGTAAAATATGTAAGACCAATGGGATTATAAGATTTAAAATATAGGGTAGGTATGGAGCTTATGATAGTGGCTAAATATATTGAGTACTTACTAAGTTCTGGCCATTGTCCTACTTGTAGTGGTTATCCAGGCATACTTCCTAGAAGGTATGATACTCCATACAGTCACTCTGAGATTCTCATAGCAATCATTTCCCCACACCAACAGTTAAATTAAACAGATGGAATATGACATGATTTTAGTACAGAATAGCATCACATTCTAGATGATTCCATGCAATATCTGGTAACAATAGACCCAGAGAGGACAGAATTCTGTCTCGGACATGATATTTGGATAAAATTCCTGTATCTTTGCAGAAAACTGGGTCCATGGAGTGGACCAAGTCAAGAGAAATCCACTCCCTGGAGAATTAAATGAATAATCTCCCTCTGATCCTTGTCAAGAATATAACTCTAACACTTGCATTAGTCATGGTCACTTTCTCTGAGTGGGAACAAAGATTTCCTGTGTGATCAAGAGCAAATGTTTCATAATCCTTTGCTCTTTCTAAGGATATGTATATACTGTCTTCACAGCCTCTCTCTGATGAACAAGTAGCTAAACGTTTGCAAACCCTGACTAAGGGACATTTGGTTACCTCGGTGTCACCACTGTGGAATGACACTAGCCATCTTTGTGACCATATCAAAGATCTGTCCTTAGAAAGAGCAAAGGGTCTGAACGAGGAACCAAACTCGTACTCTGGAAGGGTCGACTGTGAGAGGAGACTCGGAGGTGTTGCTTCTTCTCTGAGAAGGTTCTTTCACTGCAGTGGCCAGAGGTAAGTTGCACACACTGTGTCCTTAGAGACTCAATTTCCAAAGGTCTTCTTTAGCAGAACAATTTATTGCCATTGTAATCCCAGGACAGATCAAGAATCTACAGGGGAGGAATTCAGCAAGACTTCAAAGCATCAAAGTCTGACAGAGGAAGATTACCGACCTTTGTCTGCCTAGTTCTTATTTTATTATATTACTAAAGCCAGCTGTATAGAGCTGATATGCACAACAATGAAAACAAACATATTTGATTGATGAATAGACTAGTGAAAATACATGAAACCACTAGGATTAAAAGTATTAAGAATCTAGGGAAGATAAAGATCACAATCATAGCGGTTTGATTTTATTGTGTGCTTTCTGTGTTTATCATTTTTATGAGGATTGATTTCCCAGCAGTAATGCACTACAGATAGCAAATCTGAGGTTTTCATGCAATGATTTTCCTCAAACAAGGAATTAGATAAATAGATGGCATATGATCTTATTTTCAGTGATGAGATTGGAGATGACATCTTATGGATTGTACCATGGAAAATATCTATTATAAATAGATCTCCAGTTAATAATAGGCCCTGTGAAAGACAGTTCTCTCTTTCAAAATTTCTTATTCAAATCCTGACACTAGCCATTTGATCTCTGGTCTCATGTGTTCAAAGAGAATGGCTGGGCTTTCTGGATCACTTGTTATTTCTCACTACCAGATTTCCTGCAGCATAAACCCAAAACCGATGATGTATCAATGGAATGATGATATTCTTGAGATGAATTTCCTGAAGGCCCCCATCATGTCCTTGTTCCTCAGACTATAGATAAAGGGGTTCATCATAGGGGTGACAACGGTGTACATCACTGATGCTATTGCACTGCCCCTGGAGGCATGAGTAGATGCAGAACTAAGGTACACCCCAAAACCTGTCCCATAGAACAAGGAAACAACTATTAAGTGTGACCCACAGATGGAAAATGCCTTATACTTTCCACCAGTGGATGGGATTTTGAGGACAGAAGAGACATTCTGAACATAGGAAAAAATTATCCCAGAGATGGGAATAACACCAAACAGACTGGTCACTAGATACACGAAGATGTTATTGAGGAGGATATCAGAGCAGGCGAGTTTGAGAATGTGGGCTAGTTCACAGAAGAAGTGGGGGATCCTCAGGTCTGTGCAGAAGGACAAGCGCAGGGTCATCAAGGTGTGGAGCAGGGCATCCAGGACACTGATGAGAAAGGACAGCAGAAGCAGCAGGCCACAGAGTCGAGGGTTCATGATAACATTGTACCTCAGCGGGTGGCAGATGGCCACAAATCTATCAAACGCCATCATTACTAGAATTTCATTTTCTAATCCAACAAAAGTCAGGGCAAAGCTGATTTGGGTAAGGCAGCCTGTGTAACTGATAGATCTGTTCTGAGTCTGGATGTTCAGCAGCATCTTGGGGATGGTCGTGGAGGTAAAACAGATGTCAACAAAAGACAGGTTGGAGAGGAAGAAGTACATGGGGGTGTGCAGGTGGGAGTCAAAGATGATGGCAAGGATGATGAGCAGGTTCCCAAGCACAGTGACCAGGTACATGGCCAGGAACAGGCAGAACAGGAGGGGCTGCAGCTCCTCATCCTCTGACAGTCCCAGGAGGAGGAATTCTGCAGGATGTGAGAGGTTTCCTGAGATCATGCTGTCGATGGGTCTGACAGAAAAGACAGAGGTGACGAGAAAACAATATTTGAGAGAAGCTCCCTTAATTGTGTCTATAGTTTGAAACCAAATGAGTTACAGATCTTTTCTCTTGCTTTCCTCCCCGCCCCCCATTTCCTCTCCTTTCATGCCTTATTGTCTCACAAAACTTCTCTCCTACCATTTATTATCCCCAATTTTTGTTTTCCATCTCTTCTTTGTCAAGAGGGGTAGTTAGAAGAAAATAGTGAAACTGTGTCCTCTTAAGCTTAAGCTACCTCTAAGGAAATAATTCTAGAATAAAATCATTGCAGCTGATAGAACACAGTTTGAGAAAATATAACCTATGGAAAAATCCTTCTCGTGCTTATTTTTGTAAATAAAACTTTGCCAGGACACAATTATTCATTTACATATTGTCCGTGACTGGTTTTCTACTATATCTCAGTTGAGTATTTGTTTTTTTTTTTCAAAGATTTATTTATTTATGCATATAAGAACTGGGGTACAGGCCAGAGGTGCTGGGGGTGAGAGGATTCACCAGAGACAGAATGGGGAGCAGAACAGGCAGACTGACTGAAATACACTGCTGATGGCAGCAGCGGGCAAGGCAAGAGAGGTCTGCAGAACCATGTGGGTCAGCTCCCTGGCAGGGGATTGAACTTGTGCTGCAGTGTTTGCTACAGCTTCACAGGTTGCGTCTCAACCCCTGCGCCACCAGGGAGGCCCCCTAAGTTGAGTATTTGTGATAAAGTCCCTATGGTTCAGAAAACCTAAATATTTACTTACTATCTGCCTTTTCACTGAAAAAGTTCCTTATCTCTTATCTAGATGCTTGATTATCATCAGTTTAAATTTGCGGAAACATTCTTAAATATTTTGAGAAGGAAGCACATTACTGTTCATCTTCCTACTTATAATTATTATTGCCTGGATTCATAAATGGATAGGAGTTACAAAATGTTGACATTGTAATTCTTTCTCTTTTTATTGGCTAAACAATTTCACAGAGACGCTTTCCCTAATCAACTAGGTAGTTACTCTGAGGAAGAGTTCTTATAAGAAAGAGAAAATATATCTCTATTATTGTCTTCATTACTTTTTGGATAATAATGAACATTGTATGATCATAAACTCCTAGATTAATACTATATCATCATAAACCTCCTATAAAAATATTTTATAGGTCTCAATTCATTGCAGTTATTATTTATACTGATTCTCAAATTGTCCAGTGTTTGGCCAGTGAAAGCCTTCCACAGATTCTCCTTGTCTTCTGAATCTTTATGAAATGAAGCTACGAGTCTCATATCTCCCTTACTCTTTGGAATGAAATATGCCCACTTCATACATTTTCTGTCTCAGACATAAACCAGTCATTTCTCTAGGGAGCCCTGGTTCTTTTTAGTGATAGTTATTATCTAATGGCCACAGTCTGGTAACTAAAGGGTTTTTAATGCTTCTGGATTGGTCATTGTTTTAAGCTCATTTTAGTGGGAAGTCATAAAATAATATTTTAAAATAATTGGTTCAATTAGTTCTTCCCTAAAACCTAAAAATTGGGTATAATTCTCATCCACTTAGACTCAAGGCAAACAGGCAAGAGGTGCACAAATGAACAGTTAATGAGTAGCAGAATCAAGGATCTGATTCAAGAAGTCAAACCAGCAATGGCATGCTTAATTGTTAAGTGCTGCTACTTCCAACTCCAGAATTCAGTCTCCTATGAAATTACTCAGGGTCCGTCATTTCCCTTTGGAAAACTTAAATGTCTTCCTAATTCATAAAACAATCCCAACTAGTTCCTTGGTCTTCAGTCTCCCAGGATCCCACAGAGTGTGCTTTGGCTGATACCAATCAGGACACGTCTGTATAACCCAAGATCAAGATTAAAAAACGCTACTTAATTGGGCCTCCCCTGGTGGTGCAGCAGTTGAGCGCTGGGTTGTGAAGCTGCCCACAGCCTCTGCAGGGCCGGTTCGATTCTCGGCCACCAGTGAGTGTCCCACATGGTGCGCAGACCAATCCTGTTGTGCCCGCTGCTCCCCTCAGCAGTGTATTTCATCGGTCTGCCTGTTCTGTTCCCCGCTCTGGCTCTGGTGAATTCTCTCACCCTCCTGTGCTTCTGACTGTACCCAGTGCTTGTATTAATAAATAAATAAATATTTAAAAAAAATGCTACCTAATTAATGGAGACTTGTATGAATCTACTACAGGTCAGACAAATGCAAATACCTGACTGATTTTAACAGATGTTGTAGACAGGGATTCTACCCCATAAAGTCACTCAGGGAACCAGTCTTGTATTTGTATTATTTGTAACATGTGGTCTTTTTAGTCATGAATCTGGTACATTGAGAAGATTCCACATATCCTTTGGTACTTTCCTTCAAGAGAGAGAGAAAGATAAGTAATCTGGAGAAATGTGTTATTGCAATTTTCTCATTAAAGCTTGGAACATCCTTTTCTAAAATCAAAATGAAACTTTATTTTTGGTAGCTGAAAAGTGGGAGAGAGAATGACATGTAAGGGCCTTTAGCAAACAACAACAACAACAAAACAAAACAAAAAAACAATTTTAAGTGTGTCATCCTCAGAATTCTGGAGAGAAAGTGTCTCTTAATTAGCTACCCCTAAAGCTGGGTCAATTAGCAGTTAAATGCCCAGAATGATTGGTAAAGATACATAAGAAAAATGCAAGCAATGTGCCTGGATAATTACACTTTCAGAGTAATGATGGCATTTAATATATGAAAAATATTTGATAAACTACATGTAAATAGTCAAACTTGGTTACTTTACCTAAGAATTCTTATGTTTGAGAGAGAAATATGATACTAAGTTTTGCAAGTTCCTGACCACTTCCTTACCAGTAATTTCCAAAATAAATGGTCTTTAAACACATGAATGGATGTAAAGAAAAAAAAAAAACAGAGAAGGAAGGAAGGAAAGAAGGGAGGGAGGAAGGAAGGAAGGAGAAAACTTTTACAGAAAACTGTAAAAAGCATCCAGGGAAGCTTCAGGGATGAAAAAATGACTAGATAAAAAGGGCAGAGCCCCATCTCAGCATGGGGGCCCTCCGGTGATCTTTCCTGTTGTCTTTGTCTGTTTATATGGAGACAAGTCCTTAATGGTTCTTGTCTGAGACAGAGGGTGAAAGAGGACTTCTCAGGACTGACAAAGGAGACATGAGCTCAGTGCCCTCTGGAAACCCTCTCAGGGAAATAAAGTCATGGAAAAAGTAAACTGAGAAAGGAGCTGTGCACTCGTGATGGCCCTGCCATGCTATGCCAGGCTCTTTTAATACTGTTTTATATCATCTTAATGCTCTTTTGTCATGCTAAATTTTAATGTCGATTATATAATTTTTTAAATATTCAAAATAAAAATATTTACACTCATTCTAGATATATAAAAAATAAACTGAAAATTATTAAAGGAGAAAAGCAATTTCTACAGCAGCCATAGCATGGTGAAATTAATGTCAACATAAATACTCTTTAAAATAATTAACCTTTGTTTATTTTTATGGGTTACATTTGAAGCATCCTGAAAAGTAGAAAGAGTGACAGTGAGGACTTAGGCCTACCGGTCAGCAAGATCAAATTCAAATACTGTGCCTTAATTGTAAAATGACTTAATTTTAATTAATTTTAAAATTACTTCATTTTAAAAAGTAAATAAAACCATACAGATTTCCTTGAAATCCCAGTGTGTTCCTGCACAGTCACAGGGCTGACGTCCCCTGCCTCAGGGTAACCATGATAGGAGCTTTGTATGTATCTTCTCCTGGAGGACATGTATTCACAAACACTCTATGTCTATGTGACTCTGTATATTACATGTTCATATGTATTATATATGATATTATATTTGCTTTAGCAACATGTTTTGGCTTACCAGTGTGTCCTATAGTTATGAAGATTGACATAAGCATTTCTGGTTCATTAATTTTAACATACACTCTTACATCAATGAGCATTTGAATTTGTTATGATTTTTTTCTATAGTAAGCATTTGTGGAAACATATTCACATGTACTAAGTGTTAAACGCAGATTGGCAAATAGCCACCAAATTCCATAGAGTGGTAAACCCTGGGAGAGATGGAGGAAAAGAAACAATAGTAAATGGAACTTTTCCATGATGATGTAAAGCTGTCCTTTCTGAAGTAAGAGGAAGACCTTTCTGTGTGGAGCTTGGATGTCTAAAACCAGTTAAAAATGACAATCAAAAAGAAGATTCCATGTGTATGTGCAATACTTATTATTTAAAAATGTGGCTAAAGCTAATATGGCAAAATGTCAGCATTAATTCTGGAAGGTGACATTCCAGAATTTATTTTATTGTGCTTAATTTAATATATTTTATAATATTTTGGGGAGGGATTTTAAAAAGAAAAACTGAAAAGGTGTTGATGAGGCATGGACCAGGGATGGGAAAATTGAGAATCAACTCCACCCACATTCCCCCCACCCCCCACAAAACGAAGAAAGCTAGAGACACTTGTTCAATTTCTGAAGGGACTAGTGCACGCTCAGGTGCAGAAGTACTCCCTGGGATCTAGGAGACAGCATGAGAGATGGAAATAATGAAAACGAATTACAAATTAGATGAGACAGGGAAAATAATATCTCTTATAATTTAAAATCCCACCATTATAACTTAAAATCCCACCATACATCCTCCTACCCTTTGGATGGCTTCCAAATAAGCAAGCTTAAAGAAGAACATGATGAGGGCCTCCCCGGTGACGCAGCGGTTGAGCGCTGGGTTGTGAAGATGCCCGCAGCCTCTGCGGTGCCAGTTCGATCCCCGGCTGCTCCCCGGCCACCAGAGGAGGGTCCCGCATGGCGAGCAGACCTCTCCTGCCGCCCGCTGCTCCCCTCAGCAGTGAACTTCGGTCCTTCTGCCTGCTCTGCTCCCTGCTCTGGCTCTGGTGAATTCTCTCACCCCCCCACGCTTCTGACTGTGCCCAGTGCATGTATAAACAAACAAACAAATAAATAAATAAATAAAACATGCCTCTATAAATTAAATAAATAAAAAAAATTAAAAAAAAAGAACATGATGAATTTCTCATAGCATTTACTAGAGTACTGCGGATTGCTCTAAAATCATCAATAAGCAGTTCACCTTTCCTGTGGATGTTGACAACTGAAGACGAAAACCTGTTCCCAGATGGACCAAGAAAGGCCACAAGCTCCTGGCAAAACAGATCATCTCAGGAAGGAGACCAGATGTGCTGTTTCCTGACCTGCACAATGACGTTTACTAATGTGGCCACAGGTAGACATTTTGTGGTCTCTGTGGCCCTAGAGTTCAATTTCCAAAGCTGCTCATTAGCCCCACTCTTTCCCCAGGGCAGTGCAAACCCATAAGGACCACAGCTCACAGAAGGAGGGATCTTCTTGATGGCTGACTCCCCGACCTGGAGGGGGAAGGTGGAGGCCATTCTCTGCTTACATGTTTCATGCCATCCCCAGGGAATCTCGTTCTTGGACCCATGGGTCTGACTTTAAAGGAAATAGGTTTATCTCTAGACCAAGGACCAGTTTTCTCTGAATCAGACATGGTCTCTAAGGGCTGGAGTTCAGGATGGTAAAAGCTTCCACAGGGCCAAGACTCAGGGATGCAAAGAATGAATCCTGGGATTATTTCCACAGTATGAAAATTTTATCTTTCATTAGACTCCCTTCATGAATGAGGTTAATAACACTATGCAAAGAGTTGGCAACGAAATCAAGTTAATGGTTACTTGAACAATCTTTTAGAGGTTGTATGAGAAGTAGGCATCAAAACCAACAGTTATAAGGAGAACACAAAAAAGCACTAAACATAGAGAAAACAAGTGAAAAATTGATTGCATTAACATTAGGAAACTATAAGAAATACACAGGAAATCTCCATACTGTTTCTTTTTTCAACTTTTCTGTATCTCTAAAAGCTCAAAATGAAATTAAAAAGATTACAAATCAAAATGTGATACTACAACATACTCATCAAAATGGCAACATGAAAGCTTAGGCAATAAAATTTTGGCAAGAAACCATAATGCATATTGGTGCAGCTACTTCAGAAAATGACTTGATAACACCAACTAAATGACACCATATGTATTTCCTATGATTCTGAAATTATATATATATGCACATATATATAACAAAAATATGTACAACTGTAAACAACAACAAAAACATGTACAAGAATATTTATAGCAGAAGTATTTGTGAAATATCCAATCTATAGGCAATCTAAATATCCAAGATAGTTGAATGAATAATTTGTGCCTATTCATACAGTGTGACACTATGCAGTAATAAGAATAAATTCCTTCTAAATGGAATAACATAGACTAATCTCAAAAATATGTTGAGTAGAAGAAACCCAGCACAAAAGATAACATATGCATAAGAGTGCATAGAACTCTTAAGTATATTTTATTTTATTAATTTATTCTTTTTTTATTTATATCTTTTATATCCTTGTGTCTTCCCTGTAAAATTCCCACCACCAATTCACCCATGAACCATCACCCTAGTCCCTTGTATTTAAAAAAAAAATTGAATTTTACACCTTAAATGGATGAGCTGTATAGTATGTAAATCAGATCTCATTAAAGCCATTAAAATGCATAGGATTCCATAGAGTACTTACATCAAGGCAAGACATCAGTGTGATTAATGATTGAAAACCTGAGGGGGAATCCTGCACGCTCAGGTGGAGAAGCAGCCAATAAGTCAGAGTAACGCTAAGCGTACTGATGGCAGGGACACAGCAAGGAGAATACCAGCAGTGCCTCAGAAAGGAGCGAGACGCCCGCAACACTTACCAGCAACTGGCCTCCTCCAGTCCCTAACTCCCACTGATTGGGCAACTTAAACCAGTACTCCCAGACAGGTACAGAAGTCCCCACCTGGCAAACAACTTTAAATCCTTTCAAGCCAGGAGAAGCTAAAAAAGCAAAGCACCATTGGCTGGAACATCTCAGATTCTACAACATCTCAGTTATTGCTAAGGACAAGTTAGAAGTTGTTCTAAGAAAAGTTCTAAGCAGCAAAATTGGCAGAATGAAAAATACTACAGAGGACATCTTGAGCCCTCAAGGGAAAATGTCACCACTAGGAGAGAAAAGCTCTCTGGAATTCAAAAACAAAGACATCTCAGATCTTTTCTTCCTATAAATTAAAGAGATCAACATTGCTTTCCTCTGTCTCCCCCCTGAGTATTAGTCATGATACACACATTTTTTTAAAAAATGGAGGGCGCAGACTCCTTGAAAGCAGAAGGCCAGGCTCGGAGGAAATGCCAGCTTCCCTCCCATGGCTGCAGTGCCAACACTACCTGTCTGAACCTCCTCTTACTCACTTGCTGAGACGTCTTGCCACCAGGATGCCATGAATTATGACCAAGGGGGGCATATGGAGGAAAACCCAGGATGAAATTCTGAACACAGTGGTAATGACTATGGGAAAAACCAGCGGTTTAGGGTTGCCTCACTTGTGCATGGAAAATCAGAATGCAGTGCAAAGCCAGATGGTATGAGCAGCTGGACCCAAGGATTAAGAAGACAGAATGGTCCAAAGAAGAAGAGGAAAAGCTTTTGCATTTGGCCATGTTGATCCCAATTAGTGGAGGACCACTGATCCCATCCTTGGAAGGATGATGCTCAGTGCTTGGAGCACTTTCTCCTATTTCCTTTGGATAAAGCTGCCCAGAGAGACAACAGAGAGGAAGCAACAGATGATCCCAGAAAAACCTAACCTGGAGAAATAGATCCAAATCCAAAAACAAAACCAGCACGGCCTCATCCAATTGATACGGATAAGGGTGACCTTGAGATGCTTTCTGAATCCAGAGTTCACCTGGCTAATACTTAGGGGGGAGACAGAGGAAAGCAAGAGAGAAACAGTTGGAAAAGGGAGGCATCTTGCTGTCCTCCAAAAGAGATGAGACCTTTGAGCAGTTGGCATAGAAATTCAGAAGAAAAGAAAAAGGAAAAGAGGTGTTGATTGTAATGCTGAAATTCCATTTGAATGGAATAAAGGGCCTCCCTGGTGGCTATCCTCAGCCTCTGCAACAGGAGTTCAATCCCTGGCTGGCCAAGGAGCTGCCCACATGGCACAGCAGACCTTTCCTGGCTTGCCCCCTGCACCCCTCAGCAGTGTAGTTCAGTAGATCTGCCTGTTCTGCTCCTCACTTTGTCTCTGGTGAATCCTCTCACCTCCCCGCTCCCCTCAACCCCGCACCTCTGGCCTGTAACCCCAGTTTTTATATGCATAAATAAATAAAATCTTATAAAAAAGAAAAAAGCCTGCTCTTAGTTTCTATGATACTTCTGAGGAAAACTACCAGTTTCTTGATGCAGATTTCAGAAAATTAAGACAACAGGACATTGATGGAGAGCTAAGATCTGCTCAAGAAGGAAGAGATAGAAAAAGACAAGCAGCATTTGAAAAGGAAAAAGGAATCTGATTTACCATCAGCTATTCTTCAAACTAGTGGTGTTTCTGAATTTACTAAAAAGAGAAGTAAATTAGTACTTCTAGCCCCTCAGATTTCAGATGCAGGACTCCAGAAAGTTGTAAAAGTAGGTCAAACACCTGAAATTGCCTGTCAAACTGCGAAGGAATGCAGCATAACAGATTCTGCTTCCAGTCCTTTTGTCTGGAAAAGAGAGTAAAAATTTTGCGTGGTGTTTATCAGTCTCATGTCATGGGGTTTAGGTAATAGTTAAATGACTTCTGGGACCAAATTGACTGGCGAACTGAGAGTTACTCACTTTTGAAAAATGTAGGAAACATGAAGATTCTGCTATTCCCTGGAGGCTAGAGTGTTTAAAAGATGTTCAGGGACAACAGGACAGAGAAAAGGAACTTTAACATAGATATGCTGTTTGCTGATTGAAGGAGAGTCATTAGAGTCCTAATTCCCAAGCTTCGTCTATATTCTGTCACAAGATGAATTAACTGCTGTTTTTCATACTCTGGAAAGCCGCACCTGATGTCTATCTTCACTGACAAATTCCCTCATCTGTGGTGTTATGGTTATTTTAAATGATGTCGAACTTACAGATTCTATGTATAAAGACTAACTCCAGAAGACATTTTAGGGTTTAAATCATTAAGATGCTCATTTCTAATCTCCCTCTTCCTCTGTTCTGTTGGAGACAAATTATTTTTCCTTTTTTTTGTTGTACCAAAGCCACAGCAGCCCAGAGTTTAGCTGCCCAGTCCTGCTCCAACACCCTGACGAATTATGGGACAAACAAGAGGCTGGAAAGATGTTCACAACGGCTATGTGGAAAAATGAGTTTGTTATTATCGGATATTGATGTTGAGGAATTTGATGCTGATCTTGAGGAATCAGGAGTTTGTTTTGTGACATTTAAGTGTTTATAAAATATCCCAGTGGGAAGAGAACAGCTCCTTCTGTGTGGAATTCAGGGCAGAGGCGTGGCACTGTGATGGACAGGTGAGTCCTGCGTTTATAAACGATACTTAAAGCGACGAGATTCTGCGACCACAGAAGGAATGACTGGAGATGAGAATAAGCCTCGGACCTTGGTCCTGGAGCCCCGGAACAATTAGAAGGTGCTCAGCCCAGTGCAACGGCCACTGTGTCCCGCTAAGCTTGAAAACTACATTTCCCAGAATCCCTTGCGCCCCGCGCTTCCCGGCTAGAGGCCGCCCGTAGCCCCGCGGCGCTCAGAAGGCGGAAGTGAGGCGGAAGCCATTATCCCCGGGAGGCGTTTACGGCTGCACACATGGACGCTCGGGAAGGCCGTGGTGGCCTCCTCCAGCTTTTGGGGACCCCTCGTTCCCCCGGGGCTGACTGGATCGCCCGCGTAAATCTCTCTTCCTCTCTGCGGCAGTTTCCGTGACCTCTGCTTGCCCCGAGTGTTCCCTCAGCCGTGTAAGCCCCGCTTTCCGCCTCAGACCCTCCCTCGCTGTCCCGAGGCCCCGCGGCCGCAGGGAGGGATCTGGGGGTACGCGGGCCTCGGGCCCGGAAGCCGAGCGGGGGGCGGCGTGTTTCAGGCCCTGTGGTCAGCGACTGAAACGTTGGCGAAGAGACGACCGAAAGGCACCCCCTGCGCCACATGAAGCGGGGACGGCGCTGGTGTTGGGTCCTGAAAGTGGGCGCCGTGGGGTGGGGAGGGAGGACGTTTTGGGGGGTCAGGAATGGGGAGCCGCGCGGATAAACTAGCTTCTGTGTTGCTTTGTAGTCAGTTTCCTCAGATGCTCATCGACGCACTCGGATTTTCTTTTCTCAGCATTTGTGTTGGATGCCTTTTATAATTAAACTTTGGGGTGCACTTACCTGTTGTAGTGACTGAGCTGACTTCATGTCAGTCGCCCACACCTAGATTTCAAGATTCGCTTCAACATTCTGTTATTTAACTTGTGTTCGTGCATTAATACTTACTGCGATGACTAATATTTTGCATTGGTTTTTCCCATCTGATTTTGTGCTCTTTATCCGTTGACGTTCACAGTTTTTTAAATCGGAATATAGGACATATCTGCAAAAGAAATATGAAAACACACACTAACAATCGAAAGAATAACCATAAAGTGAATCCCCAAACTAGGCCTAGCAAGAGATAGTGAAACCTCAGAAATCTGTGTGCTGCTTCTAAATTGCATCTTCTGCCTTTACCCCATGATTTTCTTTATGGATTTTATTGCTTATGTTTACCCAAAAATGTAGGTCCTGGTTTGGTAAGTATCATCCTTTTTTCCATATGGATACAAAAAACCCCACATTTTAATTTAGAAATTTCTATCTTATAGGTAAAATATGACCACCCATCCATTCTGTACATTATGGCTTAAATTGCAGAGTCAATTTACAGAGGTCTACACAGTGGGATTTTGTGTTCATCTTGTGTTGAATCAATATGGGAATTTCGAGAATATTGACATTGTTATAAATCTTGACTGGCTCGGGGACTTTGAATGGAGTTTTGGGAGGCAAACTTGAGGCATGGTTTCCTTTCTGACCTTGAGGGGCATTAACCTTAGTGTTTGTTGGAAGCTTTTTTTTTTAAAGAGAGTATCAGGTAAAGGTAGTTTCCTTTTTTTAGTTTGTGTTTTTTGTCATGCATAGGTGGAAGCTCTCAACAAGTAATTTTTTTTCAGTGTCTGTTATGCTACCTTTCATTGATACGTTCTGAGTACCTTGAAAGATATGTTGCCTTTGATATGTGCTAAGTACTGTTAGTGCATTGAATGGATTAATGAAAACTGATTTTTCTTACTGGTTTCATAGTGTGGTAAATTAAGTTGATTTTCCCATGTTGCATTACATTTGCATTGGTAAAATAGCTTAAAAGAATACATCCTATTTTATCACTTTTTGGCTTCAGTTTGTTGATATGTTGTTTGGTGATTTGGATCAGTTTGAATAAAACTGGCTTGTAAATTTTCCTTGCCTGTTTTTGATTTATCCCAGCTTCATAAAATGAGGTGAAAGCATTTCCTCTTTTTTTCCATATTGTGGAGTATTTTGCCTAAGAAAAGTACCACTTGAGCTGTACTGGAAAAACCATTTGGGACTGGAGTTTTCTTCATGGGGATTTTTTTTTTAATTAAAAAAAATTTTTTTTTAAAGGTTTATTTACTTGTACAAGCACTGGGTACAGTCAGAAGCATGGGAGGGTAAGAGAATTCACCAGAGCCAGAGTGGGGAACAGAACAGGCAGACCGATGAAGTACACTGCTGAGGTGAGCAGCAGGGATCTAACCGGGGCTGCTGAGGCTGAGGGCAACTTCGCAGCCCAGCACTCAACTGCTGCGCCACCAGGGGAGGCCCATTCATGGGGATTTTTATTTATTTATTTTTAAAGATTTATTTGTTTATGCATACAAGAGTTGGGGTGTAGGCCACAGGGGCGGAATGGTGAGTGGGGAGCAGAACAGGCAGATCTACTGAAACACATTGCTGAGGGGAGTTGCGGGTGAGATCAGAGAAGTCTGCTGAGTCATGTGGGTCGCTCCCTGGCTGGCCAGGGATTGCACTGTGCTGCAGTGGCTGGTGATAGTGTCATAGTGCTGAGACTTAACCCCTTGCACCACCGGGGATGCGAGATTTTTAAAGCTATCATTTTAGATCCTTTAAGGTCACAGTCATAGGACATGCACATTCTCTACTTCATTATAATAAAATTTCTTTTAAGGGTTTATTGATTGTCTATAAGGATTTGACTTTGTATCATCAATGTCGTTAATATGCACAGTGCTCTTACATCTCTTATATTTCTCGGGCTTGCTACATCTATAAGGTGGTTTGGTGGTTTTCTGTTCCTACATGTACATTGTTTAGGAATTTTTTTGTTTTAATTTTCAATCCTTTCACATTTTTTCTGGTTATCTCCTGTAACTTGTTAACTTCACTGCCCAGTGGGCAGAGATACCTTTTTCTGAAACACAGTATGCCCTGGTAGTGGGGTTTTAGTTAAGAAATGCTTTCTCATCGTGTTCACTCTACATGTCATCAGTGAGTTGTCTGCTGGTACTGACTCGGTGAGGGCTCTGCTGCTGGCTTTCCCCATTCTGTTTAGAGTTGTATCTTTTTTTCTTCAAAATTTTTAGGCTATGTATATACATATATAGCTTTTTCTTGAATTGTACATCATTGTGTGATATTTCATTTTTTTCTATGTGTCTTTGCTTTATTCTCTTGGACACTTTCTTTTTTAAAGCATCATTTTATTTTTATTTCTGCTCTCATTATATCAGTCTGTTGTAGACATCTCTGAACAGTGTGTCACCATTATCATCTTAGGTATTAATACATTTGTTTGTTAAATTCTCTTTTTCTATTTTTCCTTCCCCCTCACTTTTATTCCTTTCAATATTTTTAATTTTATTTTTATATTTTTTCATATTGGATGAATTTACTTATGTCTATTATTTTAGTGCTTTTCTGAAGAATTCTTACTCCTGCATGCTCAGTTTGATTTTGATATTACACTCCTGATTTACGTGATTTTGTTAAGCATTTTAATTTTATCTTTTTCTAAACCTGAGAAGAGATGATGATGATGATGATTATAATAGGCAGTCATTTATTTTTAGTTTCATTATACCCACCCTCTTTTGTTCTTGCACTTTTCTCTTTGGTTCCTTCATTACTTCTCTGCAGTGTGTCTTTTAGGATTCCCTTTTTTTCTGTGGGTAACAAGCCACCGATTAGTTGGCCTTACCAGGTACCTTTGTGGAGGAGGCAGATGTTTAAAATCTTCTAGGGATGGTCTTCTGTTCATTATGGATATAATAGCAGAGGAATAGAGGAATTTTGACAAGTAAATTGTAGAAATGATGAAGCAGCTGGCCAGGTGGGAAAAGAGACATCCTCTCACAAGACTAGTTTAGGAGGTTTTCTCCTGAGAGCACATTTCTAAATCATTGTCCCCAGGGTGAAGCTTAGTCTAATGATGACAGCCTGTGAGATGGCCTCCGGATGTGTCTTATGGGGTGGTCTCTGGGGCCAACACATGGGAGACCAGAACACGTGGCCCTAAATGAACCATCCTCATGGTTACCAAATGTCCTAATCCATGGTGAGCCTTGATGAGAGAAAATCTGTTCAAGTGAGGGGGTTTAGCAGAGTTGTGCCTGGTGAGGAATTACTGGAGAGAGAATTGGAATCTTACTGTGGTCTGGCAGGACCGCCATCCCATCACCTGGAGCTTTATGTGAGGCAACTTGTGGCTCAAAAGGAAATTCTGAAAAAACAAAGAGTTATCCCTAAAGCTGGAGAGACAAATACTTTAATTACTCTTTGTGATTATTTTCTCCTTTGTTACAGATAACTACTTAAGAGGTCTGTGGGAGCAGGACAGTAGCTTCCTGGCGCCAGTGCCGTTGTTCAGGCAAATTTACTACGATTTCTCACAGAATGACAGCTCTTGGTTTGTCTCCCACATTTGGTAAGTTATTGCGTTGGTGAGCACCCTCAGAAATGACCTCAGTGACCTCTACCACTTCTGTGAGGTCAGGGGCGCACACTCATGGGAGGGCTGCTGATGGATGAAATACAATGGACATGGATGGGAGCGCTGGGAGCCCCCCAGTTGACTGTTTACAGTTCAGGGTCTTGGTGAGTTGGGCAGGGAGCATGTGTAGTTGATGAGGAAGGAACAGTACAATAATTGGTAATTTGCACTATTTTATTATTTTGTAATTCTGAGCAAAACAGCTCCACCTCCTAGAGTTTTATTTTACTCACAAATTTAGAATATATGTCACTTTCTTTATGGGTTTATAAGCCTGTCATCTGTTTTCTGTCACTGAGTGTATCAGGGCTACTCTGACTTATTATGGAATCGTATGTGTGTTCATTGGGGATGTGTACTTCATACGTCTAGTGTGGGCAATTTTCTGATTTGTGAATAGAATATTGAGTAGGTTTTAATTTTCATGGATCCTCTCTTCTCTAGCTTTGTCCACTCAGGAGCCTGCCTATATCCAGGAGTTAGAAATTCCTCATCCTTCAAAAGACCGTTCCTATCCCCAGGATTTGGACCTGTTTGCGTGTAATGAGCTGGAAACTCACCTGCTCACCAACATTGGTTCCCAGGTACACCAGAATGTCAGGGTCCTCATGGCAGAAGAGGCACTTTCCAACAATGCTCCCGACATCACGTGTTAGATTTTGAGAACTTCAGGCTGACCTGAGTGTTATCGGGAAGCAAGAGAAAGAACCATAGAGTGTTTGAGGCTTCCCTGGTGTTAGTGTTGGAGGTGCTAGGGGGAATGGCTTGTATGCCAGCTGTTTTTCTCAAAATAGAGTAAAAAGTCAGGGTAGGTTAGAAGTGGAGAGAGATTGGGTTCCATTTCATCAGAGTCGGATGACACAAGATGATGAGATTACCTCAGGGATGAGTCTGGGGATTGACGTCTAAAGTAAATACTCAGACCCCCTTGGCCCCATCTGAAAATCTTTTGTTTGGAGTTTCTTGTGCTTAGTCTTCAGCGCTGGTCCTCTGTGAGCACGCAGACATGTTTATCCTGACCCAGAGTATGTGATGTTTCAGGAATCGGTGACTTTCCAGGATGTGGCTGTGGACTTTACTGAGAAGGAGTGGCCCTTGCTGGATTCCTCTCAGAGAAAACTGTACAAAGACGTAATGTTGGAGAATTACAACAACCTCGCCTCAGTGGGTAAGGCCTCCATCGTTTCCTCGTTCTTTCTGAATCAGATGCTGCTTTAAGCCCTGGCTGTGACCAGGAATTGTGTGGGGATTTGGAACATGATTGTGAATAAACTGACCTGGTGTCCACGCTTATGTCACCTTCCCAGGAGCAGAGAGACCTGTTCATTGTTTTGACCTGAGAGGTTGTCAGGTGTGTCTGGGCTTGAGCGTAGGTTTCTGAGTTAAGAAATTCTTGTTCTTTAAAGGACATAACATGTATTTGTGGTTTTGTGCTTTACAAAAGCCTTTCACGGTGCGCCTTAGCAATTGGCACCATCATTTTGCTGCTCCTAAGTCAGACTTGGCCATCTTCAGAATCCTGAAGACCAGATCCCCGACCCCAGACTAAGGGAAGGTGTTGTCATGTGCAAAGTCCTCCCTCACCATGTGTTTCCCTTACGCGTAGGGTACCAGGTTGGCAAACCCAGCCTCATCTCCCACTTGGAGCAAGAAGAGGAGTCGAGGACGGAGGAGAGGGGGATTCAGCCAGGCACGTGTCCCGGTAAGCACCAGGCAGATGGAAGCACCTCTCAATACAGCTCTTTTCAGGCGGGGCGGATGCGGCAGCAAATGTCCCACAGGGGAATTCGAAAATGTTCTTTATCTTTCAGTGTCCCTACATTCTCTCGCAAGCCCTTTGTCCTCCGTGTCCCGTCGTCTTTCATTTTGACATGTTCACAGGGCTCTTTGTCCTCCTGTTATGCTTGACACTCTTGATCATAATTTCCCGTCATTATCAGTGTCAGTGTTTGAAGATTTACTTCTTAGTGAATCGACTTATCTCTGTCTTTGCCACATGTCACACAGCAAAATTTTCAGTGTGTTCTTACTCATTTGTGTGTTCTTCCCTTTTGTATCACTGTTCCTTCCAAAGAGTTAGTGCTTGCAAGGGCATCTGCTTGCTATATCATTTTTTTTTTTCCAGCAAGTTATATTTGCCCAATTTGTTTCAGACTGGGATACTCCATCTAAAATCAAATGGTCAATCCTTATGGAAGATATTTTTGGGAAGGAAGTATCCAGTGGTGTGACAATGGTAAGATTTCCTTGGACAATTGCAGAACTTCTATCTTGTAAGAGGACTGGGCAGCGGAGTTAGAAAGGACGTGGAAGTGTGAGGCTAGTGGCATTCTCCAAATAGTTGATGACATGGAACCTTCACTTATAGTCCAGCGAGTAAATATTTCTGTACCTATGTTCAGATAGTGACTTTTGGGGCTCAGTTCAGTTTTAAAAAGCTAACAAATTATATCCAAAAAGCTTTGTACAGGTAATCCATAAAGAGTCTTGGGGCATAGCAATTTCTTGTTCTCTTTGACAGAGCCGAATTGGGGCAGAAACAGTATTTTTGCAGTGCATATTGTGAAACCCTTACTCATAATGATGTGTCCTGTATCCGTCAGTGTATGTGGGGTGCGGCTTAGGGATATAATGAATGTGGGGATTGCCTTAGCAGCACTATCTCTTAATCTACAGGAAAGAACTAGTCTTGGAGAGAAATCCACTGAATATACTCACCTGTTTGACACCTTCAGTACAGGTGCTCATCTTGCTCAGCAAATGGGAAAGCATACAGGCAAGAGACCTTATCACCGCCGGGATTATGGGGTTGCTTTTAAGAACAGGTCACACCTAACGCAACATGTGAGCATTTACAGTGGGAGAAAGATGCATGAATGTCATCAGTGCCAAAAAGCCTTCACCACAAGTGCTTCCCTTACACGGCACAGGAGAATACACACCGGGGAGAAACCTTATGAGTGCAGTGACTGTGGGAAAGCGTTCAATGATCCCTCCGCCCTCAGGAGTCATGCAAGAACTCACCTTACAGAGAAGCCCTTTGATTGCAGTCAGTGTGGAAATGCATTTCGAACCCTCTCCTCCCTGAAGATACACATGAGAGTTCACACGGGCGAGAGGCCTTACAAGTGTGATCAGTGTGGGAAGGCGTATGGCAGGAGCTGCCACCTCATTGCACACCGAAGAACACACACTGGCGAGAGACCCTATGAATGTCACGACTGTGGGAAAGCTTTCCAGCACCCCTCACATCTCAAAGAGCACGTCAGGAATCACACTGGAGAGAAACCTTATGAATGCACTCAGTGTGGAAAAGCCTTCCGATGGAAATCTAACTTTAATTTGCACAAGAAGAATCACATGGTAGAGAAAACCTATGAATGTAAAGAATGTGGGAAATCCTTTGGGGATCTTTTATCACGGAGAAAACACATGCGGGTTCATATTGTGAAGAAGCCTGTTGAGTGTAGGCAGTGTGGGAAAGCCTTCAGAAATCAGTCCATCCTTAAGACACACATGAATTCTCACACAGGGGAGAAACCTTACGGGTGTGATCTGTGTGGGAAAGCCTTCAGCGCCAGCTCTAACCTGACTGCACACAGGAAAATACACACTCAAGAGAGACGCTATGAATGTGCTGCCTGTGGGAAAGTCTTTGGTGATTATTTATCTCGGAGGAGGCACATGAGCGTTCATCTGGTAAAGAAACGTGTTGAATGTAGACAGTGTGGGAAGGCCTTCCGCAATCAGTCGACCCTTAAGACGCACATGAGAAGTCACACAGGCGAGAAGCCATATGAGTGTGATCACTGTGGTAAAGCCTTCAGCATAGGCTCAAACCTTAATGTGCACAGGAGGATACACACTGGAGAGAAACCCTATGAATGCCTGGCCTGCGGGAAAGCCTTCAGTGATCATTCCTCCCTCAGGAGTCATGTGAAAACTCACCGTGGAGAAAAGCTTTATGTTTCGTCAGTGTGGAAAAGGCTCCACTGACACATTTTCTATAAGAAACATGCAAGCTCAGATTGGAAGGTTTAAACCATAGATGGAAAGAAGGCAGGAAGCCTTTGTTAACTCCTGGGGCCCGAAAGTATACATGTCACTTGGGAAAACATGTTTGATAATTAGGGAAAGACTTGAGCTTTTTCTCATTACTGTGGAGATTTGTGAGACTCACACTGGGGAAGAAAATCTGTTGATAGCATGGTGAAGGCAGCAGTCTACGTTCTGATCTTAACAAACTTGAGAGGTTGTGGGAGAAGCCCTTCGCTTGATATTTAATGTTGACATGGTGCTAATACCACCTTGTACCTTCCGGGCATATGCGTCACCACACTAGGGAGAATATTTGTAAATTCATGATCTGAGCAAAACTTCTCTGTCTCAGTATATTCCTGATGAGAGAAGTCTAAAGAGAACTGTAAGTAGGTATGTGGGAAGCAGTGTAAATGGGTCAGCAAACTGGCCAGCTGTTTGTTTTTGTCTATGACTCTCAAATAAGAGTAGTTTTTAATATTTTTGAAGAAAAATGTAACGAGACCACGTGTTCCCAAAAACCTAAAATACTTGCTGTCCGATCCTTTGCAGAAAAGCTTTGCCCAACTTTGGTCTACCCATTTGATGGTTCCAAATGGGGTGATTTTGCTCCTCAGGGGACATTTATCAATATCTGTTGAGACATATTTAGGCATTGAAATGGGGTTACAGGGGGTGCTACTGACGTGATTGGAAAACATCAGGCGTGCTGCTAAATATCCTACAGTGTGCAGGACATCCCCCCCACCCCCCACCCCGCAACCAAGAATTATGTGCCCCAAAGTGTCAGTATAGGTGAGTTAAGGAACCTAGACCTAAAACAATCTCAATTTTTATGAAATAGGGATTCATTACAATTAGCTACTTAAAACTTATAATAATCAACATAATTTAAGTAAATAACATAGGAACTCAACTCAGTAGACAGTTCTGTGTGGCGATGATTTCAGCCACAGCCCCCTTACTTGCACTTTCGAGAATTCACATCCCAATGGAATCTTCTAGTGAATATGGAATTGCATTTGTCAGTCTTCATCATGAAAACGCCCCCCAGCTTGTTAACTTTTAGCCTTTGTTTTTAAGGTTATGCTCCTCTGATCCTTATGTCTCATCACGAAAGGTTTGTATGTGGTATTTCTTACTATAATTTTACTCTTACATGCTAATTTCCTTTTTGTAACCGACTTGACCAGTGGACTATGTGAATCATGTGTTGTGTGTAACTTGGTTGTTTTAAATACCTGTTTGTAACAGTAACCAGTTCAGATGTATTGTGACTGCAGAGCATGTCTTCAACAGAAACATTTTAGAATGTTTTCAACCTCCTGTCTGGCAGAGTGGCAAATACTTCTAGTTGCTTCCCTGACGTTTCACCATCATCTCAATGAAGAAAATCCAAGATTTGTCAGATTAGAAAAGTGTGCTAATTTTTTTTTTTAGAGATTTATTTATTTATGCATACAAGAACCAGGGTATAGGCCAGAGATGTGGAGGGTGAGAGGAATCACCAGAGAGTGGGGAACAGAACAGGCAGACTGACTGAAATACATAGCTGAGGGGAGCAGCGGGTGAGTCAGGAGAGGTCTGCTGTGCCATGTGGGTGGCTCCCTGGCCAGCCGGGGATCGAACTTATGCTGCAGAGGTTGTGGATTGCTTCATAGTGCGGTGCTAAACCCATTGTGCTGCCAGGGAGGCCCAAAAGTGTGCTAATTTTTAAAATATCTTAGAGGTTTTCTTACTACTAGCATAGTCCATGTTCCACAGCCTGGCCATTGGCAAGGAGGCAGCTGTCACTGTGTGGGCTGACAAAGCTCTTGAAAAAGGGTGGTTCTTCCTTAGATTCATATATATATGAATCTCCTCATCTTGGAAGGAGATCCAGTACCTGCTGTTAAATGGCCTGTCCTGTGGCCATGAGGATGCAAGCCACAGGGAAGGAGAATGCTGCTGGAGTCATGCCTGTCCTGCCTTTCCCAGTTGCTTTGCGTGTCTGCACCAGCCCTGGATTTATTATTTCCACACCTCAGATTAATGAGAAAAAAATAAAACCAATCACTGGTTTAAGCTGCTGTGGATATCTCATTGTTTCTCTGCTTCACAGTGTGTTTATAGGTGGAGAGAGGGATCTAGCACACCTGGCAGAATGCTGTTGTAACCCACAGCTCCAGTCATCAGTAAGGTTTTATAATGCTACGTTTGTGAGTATAATCTGCTTATATTTTTAATTGTTGGATATGAGTTTTAAAATTCTTTAAGCCAAGTTTCTAAATTGTTTTCAAATCTTTGATGTACTTAAATATTCTGTTCACTTGTTTGTTGACAGAAGTATACTAATTTTTACAAAAGCCCTCAAAAGTGGGCACGGTCAGTGTCTTTTGCATATGGGGGGGGTCTGAGGCAAGGAAATTTGGGTTTCTCGTCTGAGGTCCTGTTAGCTGCTAGTAGTACTTTTATTTGACCCTGATATTTGTCTCTGGAGTTTATATATCTGTCATTATGTAAGTGTGGGGGTGATGAGAGGGAGTGTGGGGGTTCTCTAGGACTGTTGAGTAGGCAGGGAAGCTTTGCCTGCAGGGGACATTCAAGTAGATTGTCTATGAACTGCAAATGTGCCATGTTACAATGTGGGGAGCCGTACCCTTGGCAATTGAAAGGTCATCAAAAGAAATGTGCCTGGGACAGCCAGTGGCCAGCAGAGGGGCTAGTGACGGAAGTGGGGCAAGCCTGGGAGCTGCATGAGGTTATGAGGTCAGAGCTGTGGAGGTCCAGATCACGAGGGCAGGGGCGGGGTAACTGGAAGGATTTTGCCTCATTCTCAGTGTGGCGGGAAGTCAGTGGAGGGTTTCGAACAGAGGCGTCGCAGCTATCCAACTTTTGTTTGAAGGAATCAGTGACTTGTGGGGTGATAGGCTAAAGATGGACAAGGTAGTAGAAACCTGGTTAGAAAACCACTGCAGCTTTCAAGTTAGATACAGCTGTGGCCAGGTTATTAGGGGGCGGCTTGAGATTTAGCCCATTGAAAAGTATGGTTGATTCCTTTTCACTTCTAGCCGGTGATCCTTTGTATTATTACCTCACTTTGGTTACCCTTTCTTCTGCGGGTGTGCAGTTTTCATTTTTCCCTGTTATTGAATGGTGTTGCATTAAGAAATTGTGTGTTTTGGCAATTGGTGAATTTTTCCAGAATTGTAACATTGTGGGGTTCCAAGATCTGTGCAGCTTAAATGCCAAAGTAATTTCTGCACTGGTTATGTAATAGTTCCTTTTTCTGTGTGTTAACATTTAAAACAGGTTTTACTGAAATACAGAAAAGTGCTTAGTTCATGAACATACGGCTCAGTTCTCACACACATGCAGTCAGGCCAGAAGCAGCACGACTCCTGGCCCTGATGCGTCTTGCTGCGTGCAAAGGGTTCACGCTTCCTGCTTTCCACAGAAACCGATATTCTGGCTCTTGGCAGCACGTCCCGGGCTTTTTGTTCTGTGCTGTGCAGAGGGAACCGTGCAGTGTAGGTTCTTTCGTGTCTGTCTGAATTCGCCCAGTTTTCTGACCCTGGTCCATATTGTATTGTTACAGCTCTTGCTATTGTGTTTCAGTATTTGAATGTTTCACTATTTGGTAGACAATAGTGTATGTTGGTAGACATTTTACTTTTAACTTTGGGTTATTGTGAAAAATGCTGCTTAGAGCATATTTTAATATTTGTGAACATGCACAAATGCACGTTTCCCGGCGACCTTAGACTGCAGTTACTGGGCCGTGTGGGACCCACGTTTGTTTTCATAGATGACGCCCATTTTCCAAAGTGGTGGTTGTGCAGATTTGTTTTCCAGCAAATGTAGTTAGACAAGATGATCTAAAGTTACCTGTCTTTCTCTCATTGATTTATATATTCCGATGTGAGCCTTATGAATTAAGGTATTTCCCCCACTCTGTGGCTTGCCCTCTTTGTGTTTTTGATTCCATGTTGTCTGATCTTTATTAATGTCTGATCTTTATGGACCGCACACCTCTTCCTGTATAAAAAATACTTGCCTATCCTGAAAGCAAGAAGATATTCTACATTTTCTTCTATAAGTCTCACTGTTTTACTATGTTCATTTTTCTAAAAATGATAGAATGGATTTTTTGGTGTTGTGTGAGGTAGGATTATTTATTTTTCCGAATTGACCCCGCCTCATTCATTTAAAAAAGTACATCTTTACCACAGTGATTTCAGGTGTCGTTTTCGTCATGTACTGAATTCCATATGTAGTTGCTCCAATGCTGGACTTTGTTCTGGTCAGTTTGTTCATGTCCCGTGCCACAGTGTTGGCGCTACAGTGGACTTTGTAATAAGTTGTAGTATCTGGAATGTCTAGTTCTGCCTTGTGAGTTTTCTTTATCAGTGTTTTCCTAAGTATTGTTTTTTTTAATGGACTTTCCTATTGTCCACCTCCATAAAACTAAGCTGGTATTTTTATTGGGATCGCCTTGAATTTATAAGTTAACTTGGGAGAACTAACATCTCTATAATGTGAAGTCATTATCCACGAGCAGGGGATGACTCCCCATTTGTTAAACTCTACTTCCGCGTTTGTCAGGAGTGTTAAAAAAAATCTGCTTATACAGGTTTTGTACATTTCTTGTTAAATTTTCCCTATTTCATTTCTTATTATAGAGGAGATGGTTTCTGCCATTTCACCCTCTGTTCACTGTTTCTGTATCTTACAATTACCAGTCTTGTGTTCTAATTTTCTACTTAATGGAATATTTAGTTTTATTGTTGCTTTTCTTGGATTTGCCAAATATACTGTATATTATCTGCAAAGTGGTATAACTTTGCTTGTTTACCAATTCTTATGACTCTGTTTTTGCTTGTCAAGTTGCGTTGTCGGATGCCCCTAGTACAACTTAAACAGTAGCTGAGGTAGAGAGTGTCTCGTAGCAGAGATGCCCCCATTGTTTTTCCATTAATTAAGATACTGTCTTTTAGGACCAAGGTATATATTTTATCATATCAAGAAAAGAATATATTGAATATTTTTTTATGAATGGGTGTTGAATTTGTTTTTTTTTTCTGAGCATCTATGATGAGGAGCATCATGATTCTTTTCCTCTGATTTAATATAATCTGTGATAATAATAAATTTCTCAATATTCAAATAATCCTGCGTTCCTGGAATGAATCTCACTTGTGTATGGTGTATTGTTTTTTTTTTTTTTTTTTTTTTTTTTAACATGGTGTTGGGTTCTCTCTTCTAGAATTTCGTTTGGACTTTTACATTGAATTTCATCTGGCCCACAGTTTTCTTAGTACTCTCTCAGGTTATTATACTTGTTTCATAGAGAAATTAGAAATTTTCCCTTCCATTTCAAGTGATGGAATAATGTATACACCATTTGAACTATGTGATTTTAAGATTTCTGGTGTGAATGGAATCAGTGTTGGTGACCTGCATTTTTCCTAAGAAATGATGCCTGTTGCCTAATATAGAGGTCAGCAAAGGTATCTCAGGATTTTTAAAATGTTTTCTGATTCTGTGGTCATCACTGTGTCTGTTTGTCACTATCTGTGTTCTGTTTCCCTTGGTCAAATGAGCTAGTGGTGTTTTTTTTTTTTTTTTTTAATTGAATTTTGTCTACTTGTAGCTATTGTTTTCTGTTTCTTTAGTAGTTGCTACTTTTAACTCTTAGGCTTGTTTTGACTTACTTTACTTTCTCTAGCTTTTTTAAAAATTTTTTTCTAGATCTTTCGTTTTGTTGACACATATTTCACGTAGTGGGTTGTGCTCTATCACTGCTTCAAGTGCATCCCTAGATTCTGAAATGTAGTCTTGATTATCATTCTTTTTAAAATTTGTGATTTCAATTTGTATTTTCTCCTTTCATGAGTTAATATGAGATTTTGAATTTCTAGATAAGTTTAATTTTTTTTGTTTTTGTTAAATTCTAGGTTTATTGTATACTCATATTTATGAAATTTGAATAGAATATACTTAGGTTATATTGTATTCATCCTGGTTGATGTTCTTTAATTTCCTGAATCTGTGACATGTCTGTCATTTGGTGGAACATTCTCACCAACTGTTTATTTCAAATATTCTGTTCCTTGGTCTCCTTCTTCTTCTGGCATTCTCGTTATACCTTTTTTAATTGTTTGACAAGTCTTAGATATACTGCTCATCTGTTTTTAGTCTCTTTCCATTTCACTTTTGGAGGTTTTTATTAATATATCATCAATTAACTGACTCATTTTTCTGCCTTGTCTGCTATAATGAGTCAGGAAACGTGTTCTTCACTGCTATTCCTGTATTTCTGATTTTTTGCAGTTTCTTTTGATCCTTTTCCAACATTCCCATTTCTCAGCTTACATTACCGATTTCCTCTTCCCATTATAGCCTTCAACTTATTAACCATAGTTAATTGAAGTTCCTATTCTTATAATTCTAAAATCATTGCTATAGCTGAACTTGTTTCTGAAGGCTTGCTTTGTTGTTTTACACTGTTTTTCTTGCCTTTTAACATGCCTTGCAATTCTTTTTGTTGAAAGCTTGACATGATTTCTAAAAGGAAGAGTAATAGATAGGCCTTTAGTGTGTTTTATGACTTTTTTGGCTATAAGTTAGCCAGTATTTACTGACTTTTATAGCTATTGTATCAGAAGCTAAAAGATTTTCTCCAATATACTTTTTTTTTTTGTTTTTCCTGTTTTCTTTAAGTTCTTTTCAAGATTATTTGAATAGAGCCAAAGACTAGAAATTATGCACATTTTATCCCCTGAAAATTTTTTTGTCCCCCAAGAAAATCTTTTCAGTTAAAGCTACACATAAGCTCCTTTATATTTATCTTTAGATCACTGCTACTTTCTTGAATACAAATAAAAGTAGATTTTTAGAAAACCTATACAGTAAATCCTTGGGAAAATAAATAAATAGATAGATAAATCTTCCTAAAGACAAATTCCAAACTCAGGCTTTGGATGATTGTTTTGACTTATATTAATTAAAAATTGTTTTTAAATAAAATAAAAAATAATTTAATAAATTTAAATTTATTTAAATAATTTAAAAAAATTTAAATTTAATTTAAAAAATTAAAAAGTAACTTAAAAAAAGAAGGTCC